TCAATTCTGTTTTAATTTTCATGCATGGAGCAGTTGTTTTGACAGATGGATGGACTTTATTTTTGTAACCGTCCGGGAAAAGTCTGCGTAACATAGTCTAATCAGTGCTACATATTTGTAATGTTTGTTTTTGAATCACAGTGCATTTGGCTCCTATATCTTTTTTCTGGGGGTAGACATTTTCTTTCTAATTTATTTTTCCAGGCTAATATCTCTTTTGTTTAATTCCTCTATCAATTTGATCTGAAAGCACTAGAAACATTGAAAAAATAAGTGTGGACGGTTTGTCACTAGGATGATGAATCATTGTTCTTCAGGTGCAGCCTTGGGGTTTACTGGTTTATTATTGCCCTTACTTTTACTTCTAGGAAAGTTAACAATTCATAATGCTGTTGGTCTGGAGTACATTTCAGTAAAATAAGAGGTCAGTATGGTTACCTGACTCTTGGGAAGCCAACTTGTTGCTAAACTTGTCTGTGTATATCAACTTAAATTCCAAAAAGGATCAAGGTTTGAAAAATGAATTCATTTTGAACTGATTACATTTTCTTTATTACGTTGTAAATCCGCCGGTGCTGAGCAAAGCAGTGCAGTAGTTTAATGCCAAAAAGTACATTACATTCTAAGTTTTAAGAATTGTCATGGTTCAAGAAAAGGTCAGAATCACTCTTCTTCTGTCTCCCTAGAACAGAAATGTGTGAAGTGTGTTTCCTTTTTCTGCCACGCTTCCTTCTTTTTTAGAGGAATGTCCAGGCTGCTTCCAAATAAAATGAGTATCCTGTTTTGGAACGTTCAAAAAACAAAAACAAAAACAAAAAAAACCTTGGCAGCAACAAGCTAGAGAGTGAAGGCAAATGAATGACAGAATTGATACTCTTTTATGTAGGTTTTCTGTTTAAAGAACAATCCTTGCTGACAATGTCTTCTTCAAATTTTTGGTTCTTCTCTGTCCAGTACTTTTAATTCACTGCTTCCATGCAGCTATTTTTAGCCAATTTTGAAAGTACTTCATTCACTGTCTTTGTTTCATTTCAAATGTCTTAACCTATTCTGTAAACCTAAGAAATTTCTCTCCATTCTATTTGCATCAACCTTCCTTTCAAAATAATGCTGCTGGGGCGCCTGGGTGGCGCAGTCGGTTAAGCGTCCGACTTCAGCCAGGTCACGATCTCGCGGTCCGTGAGTTCGAGCCCCACGTCGGGCTCTGGGCTGATGACTCAGAGCCTGGAGCCTGTTTCCGATTCTGTGTCTCCCTCTCTCTGCCCCTCGCCCGTTCATGCTCTGTCTCTCTCTGTCCCAAAAATAAATGAACGTTGAAAAAAAAAAAAATTAAAAAAAAAAAAAAGAAATTTATAACAAAATAATGCTGAGCTAGCCCTGGGGCATGGCAACATTACAGCCTGCTGCCAACTAGGAGAGTTCACTGGGGAAATGAAGGGTATCATTCCAGGCCTTAGGCCAATTGGGTGGGTCTAGTCCCTTTGTAGCACAGATAGAGTCTGTTATCAGTATTCTCAGTAGAACCCTTTGCCAGGTTTCACAGCTATAGTCTTGTGACTGATTTTTTTCCAGCAGCTCTCTAGAGGGCTAGCTGTCGTACTATAGTAATACTTCTTTGATAGTTAATAGACAACAAACTAAAATTATGATATTCAGTGTGGCTCACTTCTGTAGTTTTAAGAACCCTGAGTTTTTCAACCACTAATTATTGCTAATCAATTACCCAGTCTATAAGAGATATAAACTCACCAGCCTATTGATTTTAGGACTGAAAACAGTTACAGAGATGGCATGAGTCTCCATTTGTCTTTACAAGTATCCATGCTCATAAAGTGTTTCCTTTTATTGTTGTCCCAGCAAACTAGGGCCTCTTCTCAGATTTCTAGGATGCACTTAGGTGTTACTAATGGGATTAGAGAATTTGGATTTGTATTCAGAATTGCATGTGTGTCTTTTAAGGCATGGCAGGCAAACTGGAAGCCTGTTCTTTTCTAAAATGAACAAGATGTCCATCTGGTTCTGCCACTATTATTTATTAGAATATTCGTTTGCTTACCAATATATACATAGCCATTTACTTGGTTTCAACATACGGTGCCGGAACTGGTTATTTATAATCATGAATGCTGTAATACTGAGTCCACAATTAGGGATGGCTGTCTTTATGTAAAAGAAGAGTATGTGGCCACCTACATGTTTCAAAAAATGGGGTGCTGTGTAACATTTTCCTGAAAATGCCTTCTTTGCAAATGACTGAATATTCTTTAAAGTACAAATAAATCCTTTGGGTAAGACTTATGAATGGCCTCATTTGTAAATGAGTTTATCAGATGTTTCCCTCTGCACAACCTCTTTCCCCTGCCTAGACATTCATGCCCTAGCCTCTTGGGAGGAGAGAAACTGTTGCAGAATGGGCAGTTTGTTGCTGAGAGTCTTGGAAGTTAGGCTCTATCTGTTTTGTCTAAGATGTACCATTAAATGTGGGTAAGATCCATATACTCTTTAAGTTAGGAAATTTTTCTTCATTGCAACTTCTAAAATTAATTGATTTGAGAGCTTAATTTTATATGCTGTACTGCTTTACCAGACAGAGTCAGGATTTAAGTGGCAAAACAGTGGGAGAAATTAGATGTTTATTTTAGTTACTTCCCTAAACTACTCAGCATATGTTAAGAAAGTATGAGGAGTCATAACTTGAAAGTTACATATTTTACCTTAAATAGGTCTCATTCATCTTTGGGGCAGTATATTAACAGGACACCCTTAGGTTTCATCCCAGAAAAATCAGTGGTAATGGAAAGCAGTTATTTGAATTTAAATAACAATTATTCTGCTTAAGTTTGGTTGTCTGCTCCTTATTATGGGGGCAATAGAGTTAAGACCAAAATTATCAGCTGCAAACACAGAATACAAACATCATGTGGAAATGTACTTACATCATTGTAACACCTCAGTTATAAACGCCAACTGACCACATAAGTCCAAATGCATTCTGAGCTTTCACTTGAAAAGTCACATGTTACACAGAGTGAATTTGGAAGTGTTCCATGCTTTGAGGTGCTGGGATCAACACTATCTTCTATTATATTTGCCAGCATTGCTCACATTAGAGTCTGCTTTTCATCTTTATCTGCATTTCTAGTTACATATTTGGTTCTTATTTCCAAATTTTTATAGGTAAAACACAAACTTAGGATAATCTATGATCAATAATAAAATAGTTTTCGATGAAGTTTTTATTATTTAGCATATGAATATTCATTTGGCTACTTTCAAAGTGGATATTATGTATTCCATGATGAACTCATACTTTCTACTTATATGTATGTAATTTTTAAGATTCCTTATATGGTTAACAGACCATAACATTTTATTTGAAACTATTTTGACAGTTTGGGTTTTCTTTTCTTTCTTTTTTTTTCTTTTTAATATTGATATAGATTCACCTATTTAAAAATAATTTTGTGAGGTGCCTGGCTGGCTCAGTCAGGTAAGGGCCCAGCTCTTGATTTTGGCTGAGGTCATGATTTCTTGGTTCCTGAGATAAGCCCTGCATTGGGCTCTGCGGTGACAGCGTGGAGCCTGCTGGGTATTCTCCCTCTCCCTCTCTCTCTGCCCCTCCCCCATTTGTGTGTGCACACATGCTCTCAAATAAATAAATAAACATTAAAAAAATAATGAAAATATTTTGCAAAAACTAAGTCTTTTCTGCTCTGGATTTTTTGGGTAATAAAATTATCAGTTTATATTCTGATTATCTGATTTTTCTCCCAAATCTTTCATCAACAGGGACAAAAGGCTGAGATTCCTATTTGTTTATAGAAAAACAGTTTCTTTCACAGCACCTGCAGGTAGAATATATAGAAAGGATATAAATGGCTCTGTCCATTTTATTTGTTTTTATTAAAATTTTTTTTTAATGTTCGTTTATTTTTGAGAGAGAGAGACAGACACAGAGCATGAGCAGGAGAAGGGCAGAGAAAGAGGGAGACACAGAATCTGAAGCAGGCTCCAGGCTCTGAGCTATCAGCACAGAGCCTGATGGGTAGCGGGAACCAACGAACTGTTTGTGAGATCATGACCTGAGCTGAAGTCGGATGCTCAACTGACTGAGCCACCCAGGTGCCCCTTTCTCCATTTTATTTTTCAAGTGATCTTTTATTTCAAAAGATACAATGGCAGGTATATCTAAACTATAAATAATAAGATATGACTAGAATATTTCCTAAGAACTAAGCATTCTTACCTGTGGGATTTGTGGCTCATTGGGCAGGGAATGCATGTATGGGTTCATGGGTTCAGGATGTCCATGAACCTCCTGAAAATATTTGTTAATTATAGCCACTCCATAAAAGATCTTTCCACCTACAGACATTCAGTACTGTAACTAATCTTCCCTATTTCGTAGAAATATACTCTGCATTGTCTTTGAGGCTGAAATAATGTTTTGGAGAGGAGGCAGCTTTACTTTGTTAGACTCTATAGAGGTTACTAATGAGCAGAACTGAAGTTTAAAGGCAGGCACCCATCATTATTGGCTACTACTAATGTTTAAAATTCATGTTTAATAAAAAGCTTTATTATCTTTTATTTTTGTTTTATTATTCTAAACTTAAAGCTTATTTTTGCAAAGAAATTTCATCAGTGTGTGCTTTAAGTAATCTTTAATTAATCATATCATTTCCTGTTCCCCTCATCTCTAGAAAAGTCACCTGTGATTAACAATTATCTATACCTTTATTCCACTTTTATATAAATAAATTACAAATAGTTTTAATGAACTGCTATGGAAGACAATCTTTTATTACCCCCCCAAATGATAAGAGCTTTTATAGTGTATTTCATTAGATAATATGAACAAATAATAGGATAATAAGCCCTAAAAATGTTGTGAAAAAGACACAAAAGAAAAGAAATCTGTTCAAGCATGCCTAGCACCCTAGAGGATACCTCAGCCATGCTGACTGCTAGAACTCACTGGTTTTCCTTTTGTTTTACAGAAAGAATGTGCTAATTTCATCAAGGTGCTTAAGGCTTATAATCAGACTCACTTGTACGCCTGTGGAACGGGGGCTTTTCATCCAATTTGCACCTACATTGAAATTGGACATCATCCTGAGGTAAACTAAAGCTGGCTTTTAAAAACTGGTATTTGTCCATGACCCCTTCCTATTCAAATGCTTCATTACTAATTTCTTCAGCTCATTTAGCTTCTGGTTTGCTATTCAGTGGGATCTACTTCAAATTCAGATTCTGTTATTAATTTTAATCTGTGAATGCAAAAAGAATGAGACCATCACTCAACGATAACTATGGAACAGGAGGAAGGAAGGAAGGAAGCATTTGCTTTTGCCCTGGATTACAGAGTCCAATCCATTTTGCATGTGCAGCAGATGTCAGCAGGCTGAATGTGTACTGTTTTCTCCTTCATTTGTATATTGCCAGCTTTCCCCTCCATTTCCATCCTCCGCCAGAAGTGTCTGCCACCCCAGTTGTTTTCTTCTGCCTAGGGATTAAGGAAGGATGCCATACATGTGCACAATGGTCTGATCTCATGTTTGACCTAAATTATTCACATTTGTGTTCTTACTCAACTAAGCTTTCTTTCTCTATTTTGAGCTATAATGTTGGCGGTATGGAAAAGAAAAAGAAATGTTTCTTTAATTGGTTTAATATAAGAGATGTTTTAGTTAGGTAATTAAAGTTAGGTAAGTTTAAGTAACACTAGAGATTAGGGAAATACTGAAAGGAAAAGTTACGGATATTGAAAGTGGTTCCATGAATTGGGCTTACCAGTAAGCCTTCAACTATAAGCCCTTTTATAATTTTTTGGCACTAAATGCCAAAAAGAACAAATGGTGAGAGCATCATTTGTGACAGAATTTTCTTCCAAATTGGAATTCAGAGATACTCAACAAATAAAGGATTTATTTCTCCAATATTTTTGAAATCCCGAAGATAAAATATAATTCACACGTGAGCCACTTCTCTGTAGCTATAGATTCTCTCCCTAAATTTTCTTAAGGTGTCCTAAAGTGATACAAAAACGTTCTTTCAACCCAAAGGTTTAGAAATCAAAACAGTCTGTGCTATAACATCTTTGTAGACACCTTAGAGACTATGTGGTTTCTAGACCAAACACAATTATTATTACTTAACTGATGATCTTGGAAAGATGAAAACACTTTCCCAAGGCCTCACCAGTGTAAGTATTTGCTCCTCATCAGCTGGTTGGGGGCGCCCCCCCCGGTCCATCCTTCCTCCTTCTTTCCCGTACAAGCACGTATAGTATACTTGCTGACGTACCCAAGAGTTTTAAGTAAAAACTAACTTTAAGGAAAGGCCGTTCTACTTAAATTACTTGTTTCCTATTGATGAAATTAGGAATAATTCCTTGCACGTGATCTAGGAGACTTTGTATGCTTGACTTCCAGCACCTCCTGGAGAAATCTCTCCCTCTTTGCTTTCTTCTCATCTGTTCCTGTAGTCAGGCACCCCAAGAGTTAGGCCTGGAGTAATTGCCCCACTATTCTGTACTCTGGAGAAAGCTCTAGAGAACTCCTTCCACATCGTATTACACTTTTTCAGTCTGTCAGGGATCATGCTGTCCAGACAGAGCAATGGAATCAGGAGAGCTGAGCTCCTAGCACAGATTAATAGAAAAGACATGGGCCGTGAAGTTACATCTGGCTTCTGATCTTATTCTACAACTCACTAGCTTTGGAGCCCTGGAAAAATTATTTAACATCTCAGACTCTGTCTCATACTATGTAAAACAAAACTGAACAAAACCCCTGTTATCCTCAGTGTCCATATATTGTAAATGAGAGGTTGACTTGTTATCTCCAACTGCCTTCTAACCCTCCTAGTAAGGGCATGACCCACTGACTTTTTTTGTTATAGAAACTCAATGAGTTCTAATCCCATCATTGTTAAACAAGTGTCCCGTGTCCTAGAGTGGAGGACTTTTGGCTGACCTCACTTGGTACTAGATGCTTGATCCGGAATAAGCTACTTATTTTCTTTGTGTGTCTGTTTTATGTATGGCTGTTGTGAGGGTTTAACATTGTCCAATAGGTAGTAGGTACTGAAAGAATGTTATCATTTTTAAAATAAAAATCTGCATCTCGCTGTTACCGTCTTTCGTGTAACTAATTGTCATCTTGTACCTCACTTGATCAGATATTGTAAATTACCGCACTGAGCTCCCATTGTTACTAGGTGATTCTGCACTTTATCTTAAATTCTTCCATTTAAAAATTTTAAACTTAGATGATCTTGATGGCCATTTAAATTAAAATACCATTTATTGTTCCCATGTTTGTATCATTTTCCCAAAAATACTGATTTTTTTTCTTGAAATTGCTATTTAGGAGAGTTCACAGCATATTTCCTTTATAACTCATTAACTATTCATTGTTCTCTTATGGGTGGGCAGGGGAAATGAAAGGTACAGGTTCTGGAACCAAGCCACTTATCCAGGAAAGTGGAGGAAGCCATTTCCACCACCGAAATAAATAAAGCTTCCCTTCTAATCTCCTTTGAGGTAGAATACTGGGATGCAGGTATTTTCCTGAGATTCTGAATCTCAGAGCTTTGGAGAGAGGTCCTCTTTCAGAAGCTCAATGATCTTGATTTACATGGCAAATATATTGGGAAATATTGTTCCAGAGTCTTTTAAGTGGTCAGAGCAAAGATGATTATGCAGTCATCTGGGGGAATTTGGGGCGGTCTAGACAGACAATCTAGGAAATTCTGGAAAAGATATTATCAAGATAGCTTGTCTAGACAGTATAAGATTTAATTTTCAAATGCTTAAGCTGCCTTAAGAGAGAATCTGCTTTAAGTTGATCTCTACTGGTACTTAAAATCCTACCCTTGAATTTAGACAGTTATGCCGTTTGTGAAGTTGAAGAGACAATGTGTGCTTCATGCCCTTAGGAAAAGAATAACAATGATGGAAAGATTGGAAGAAGAAGGTACAGTGATCAGAACTGAGGCTACAATTGTTGGATTAGCTCTCGTGAAGTTTGAATTTAGTAACTTTTGTTTGCAAGGATGGCTTTTCATATAGAACCAGGACATATCGTTGTCTTATATTTTAGTTTATAAATAGAATGAATGCTTTGCTATTACCTGTCCCATACTACATAAAATAATGAACTAGTATCCTCTTTAAACCTCTGTTCTGCCTTTACATAATGAAGATTATTTCATCATACAAAAAAAAAAAAAGGAAAGAAACATTTTGCTTTTCGCTTTTATTGTGACCTTTGTGGACATTTTAACATTCAATTTTTTTCTTTGCTGTGTTCTTTCTTTAAAATAACTCATTATCTTACACTGAGTTCCCCAAATTGTTGAAACTCACTGTTAGGAAATGATACAGTGGACTTAGCTTTTCAGATAACTGATGTCACAGAAGTAAAGACATCACTTTGGAAGCAAATCAAGATTCCCTTTGTGATTTAACAGCCTCAGATCTTGCAGGAGGAAATTAGCAGTTGCTTTAAGTAATGATAAATAGTTTGAGGGGAAAAAAAAGAGAAAACCCTTGCTTAGTCTTCCAGTTAGAAAAATAGGCCTTATTTTACACTCCTAGCATTTTAGCTATTTACACTCCTGAATACTGTATTCCAAAATCTACTCTTGCCATATAGTGAATGTCTTCTGACCACACACAGTATGTCATTGATTACTGTATTAAACAGATTTTCTGTTTCCTGTAGTACAGTTGGGAATTGGTAGACCTATTAATTAACTCCAGTTCTATAAGATATATGTCAATCAATTCTTGGGTATCTGCCAGTGGTTTTTGACACTGCAGATAACTGCCAATGAGGTCACATACTTTATGCACATGTGTGTGTTTATCATAAAAATGCACAGTTCACAGAAAGAGTGATTCAGAGCTAGAGTACAGATAAGTTTTGAGTTTAAACTCTCAGTATCCATGCCATTCAAACGAAAAGTGTAAGTCATCCTTACAAGACAGAATATTCCCAAATGGCTCTTAGTATATGGTATTTCCCCCTTCAAATTTACATCTGCTAATAACAAAAATGTATGAGTTTCGGACGAGTATAGCTTTTCAAAAAAGTCTCTGGATGCTTTCTCAAATTCCAAATGGGCCTTTTCTATATACCGGGCAGGAAATCTGAAGAAAGATGGACCCAGATGAGAGCTGGAAAATATTAACTCTATAAATACTCTCATAATGTCATGATCTCAATTTATGATTGAACCAAGGGGACATTAAGAAATGCAGTGAAGCTTAATGGCTATCTCCAAGGTCATTTCTGTAATGGCAACCCATATATCTAGATATAAAATAAAATGTTTTGTCTGGTTCTTCCCTTCCATGAAGACTAAGACTTTGCTTTTATGCAAAACTTTGAATCAAATGCTCTTAGTAAGAGTCTTCAAGGCCAAAATGCTATTTAAGTGGTAGTTAGTGCTCTGGTGACTAATTTATACATCTATCTAACCTCTTCTTATTGTGTTCTCTCTCTCAATGCATGATCCTGTTTATCCCAGTAGAGCACAGGTTTATTTCTAGGAGGAAATGTACTAAAGCTGAGAAATTTAGATGTCTTGGTAAAACAGTGAGGAGTTACTTTTGGGTAACTCTTTCTGTCTTTCTTAGATTATACAGTGGAGTCTGAATTTACTTTTTAGTGGACTAACTTACGTGGGAAAAGTCAGGATTCCTTGGAGATTTCTTCTTGGCTACTCATTATTTCCACCAGAGGCAGTGTGTTCCTCATTTGCACCACTGACTAACATGTTGTTAGAGCAAGTCCATTATGATTTCTAGGTCTCTCTTTCCTAATATTTCAATACTTGAATCATGTTGGAAGGTGGACCTTTATAAGTTACCATGCTGAATAAATAGTACCACCATTTATATTGCAAATTAAATTTATTATTTTTTTATTTAATAATTTTTTTAATGTTTATTTTTGAGAGAGAGAGAGAAAGACAGAGTGGGAGCTGGAGAGGCACAGAGAGAGAGGGAGACCCAGAATCTGAGGCAGGCTCCTGGCTCTGAGCTGTCAGCACAGAGCCTGATGTAGGGCTAGAACTCACTTGCCATGAGATCATGACCTAAGCTGAAGTC